TTGGGTTTCTATGCAGAGTATCATGTCATCTGCAAAGAGGGAGAGTTTGACTTCTTCTTTGCCAATTTGAATACCTTTTATGTCTTTTTGTTGTCTGATGGCTGAGGCTAGGACTTCCAGTACGATGTTGAATAGCAGTGGTGAGAGTGGACATCCCTGTCTTGTTCCTGATCTTAGGGGAAAGGCTCCCAGTATTTCCCTGTTGAGAATGATATTTGCTGTGGGCTTTTCGTAGATGGCTTTTAAGAGGCTGAGGAATGTTCCCTCTATCCCTACACTCTGAAGAGTTTTGATCAGGAATGGATGCCGTATTTTGTCAAATGCTTTCTCTGCATCTATTGAGAGGATCATATGGTTCTTGCTTTTTCTCTTGTTGATATGATCTATCACGTTGATTGCTTTACGAGTGTTGAACCAGCCTTGCATCCCGGGGATAAACCCCACTTGGTCATGGTGAATAATCTTAATGTACTGTTGGATCTTATTGGCTAGTATCTTGTTGAGAATTTTTGCATCCATGTTCATCAGGGATATTGGTCTGTAATTCTCCTTTATGGTGGGTTCTTTGTCTGGTTTTGGAATTAAGGTGATGCTGGCCTCATAGAACAAGTTTGGAAGTACTCCATCCCTTCTATCTTTCGGAACAGCTTTAGTAGAATAGGTATTGCTTCTTTTAAACGTTTGATAGAATTGCCCTGGGAAGCCATCTGGCCCTGGACTTTTGTGTCTTGGGAGGTTTTTGATGACTGCTTCAATTTTCTCCCCGGTTATCAGCCTGTTCAGGTTTTCTATTTCTTCCTGTTCCAGTTTTGGTAGTTTGTGGTTTTCCAGAAATGCGTCCATTTCTTCTAGGTTGCCTAATTTTTTGGCGTGTAGCTGCTCATAATAAGTTTTTAAAATCGTTTGTATTTCCTTGGTATTGGTGGTGATCTTTCCTTTTTCATTCATGATTTTATTCATTTGAGTCTTTTCCTTTTGTTTTTAATAAGGATGGCTAATGGTTTATCTATCTTTTTAATTCTTTCAAAGAACCAACTCCTGGCTTTGTCGATCTGTTCTACAGTTCTTCTGGTCTCTATTTCATTGAGTTCGGCTCAAATCTTTATTAACTCTTGTCTTATTTGCTGTTCTTTCTCCAGTTCCTTTAGGTGTGCGGTTAGCTTGTGTATTTGAGTGCTTTCCAGTTTTTTGAGGGTTGCTTGTATTGTGATGTAGTTTCCTCTCAGGCCTGCTTTGGCTGTATCCCAAAGATTTTGAACTGTTGTATCTTCATTCTCATTAGTTTCCTTGAATCTTTTTAATTCTTCTCTAATGTCTTGGTTGACCCTTTCATCTTTTAGCAGGATGCTCTTTAACCTCCACGTGTTTGAGTTTCTTCCAAATTTCTTCTTGGGATTTAGTTCCAGTTTCAAAGCATTATGGTCTGAAAATATGCAGGGGACAATCCCAATATTTTGGTATCGGTTCAGACCTGATTTGTGACCCAGTATGTGGTCTATTCTGGAGGAAGTTCCATGTGCACTTGAGAAGAATGTGTAGTCAGCTGCGTTTGGATGTAAAGTTCTGTAAATATCTGTGAAATCTATCTGGCCCAGTGTAACATTTAAAGCTCTTGTTTCTTTGGAGGTGTTGTGCTTACAAGATCTGTTATTTGCAGAAAGCGCTGTGTTAAAGTCTCCCAGTATAAGTGTATTGTTATCTAAGTATGCCTTAACTTTGGTTATTAATTGATTGATATACTTGGCAGCTCCCCCATTAGGTGCATAAATATTCATGATTGTTAGGTCCCCTTGTTGGATAGATCCTTTAAGTATGATATGGTGTCCCTCTTCATCTCTTACTACAGTCTTTGGGATAAAGTTTAATTTATCTGATCTAAGGATGGCTACCCCAGCTTTCTTTTGAGGAACTTTGAATGGTAAATGGTTCTCCAGCCTTGTATTTTCAGGCTGTAGATGTCCTTAGGTCTAAAATGAGTCTCTTGTAGACAGCAAATAGATGGTCTTGTTTTTTTTTTTTTATCCAGTCTGAAACCCTGTGTCTTTTGATGGGATCATTAAGCCCATTCATGTTCAGAGTTACTATGGAAAGATATGAATTGAGTGTCATCATAATACCGATTCAGCCCCTGTTTTTGTGGATTGTTTCCTTGGGCATCCTCTTTCTTTCACAGAGTGTCCCTTAATATTTCGTGCAGAGCTGGTTGGTGGTCACATATTCTTTCAGTTTCTGCCTATCTTGGAAGCTTTTTATCTCTCCTTCTATTCTGAATGAGAGCCTTGCTGGCTAAAGTATTCTTGGCTGCATGTTTTCTCATTTAGGACCTTGATATATCCTGCCAGCCCTTTCTGGCCTGCCAGGCTTCTGTGGAGAGGTCTGCTGTTAATCTAATATTTCTCCCCATATAAGATAGGGAACTCCTGTCTCTTGGTTCTTTAAGGATTTTTCTCTTTATCTTTGGAAATTGCAAGTTTCATTATTAAATGTTGAGGTGTTGAAAGGTTTTTATTGATTTTAGACCTCTCTATCTTCTGGATCTGAATGCCTGTTCCCTCCCCTAGTTAGGGAAGTTCTCAGCTATGATTTGTTCAAATATGCTTTCTGGCCCTCTGGCCCTCTTGGCACCCTCTGGAACCCCAATTATACGTAGATTTTTCCTTCTGAGGCTACCATTTATTTACCTTAACCTTTCCTCATGGTCTTTTCATTGTTTTTCTCTTTTGTCCTCAGCTTCCTTCCTTGCCATCAACTTGTCTTCTATGTCACTCACTTGTTCTTCTACCTCGTTAACCCTCGTCATTAGGACCTCCAGTTTGGATTGCATCTCATTTAATTGATTTTTAATTTCAGCCTGATTAGATCTAAATTCTGCAGTCATGAAGTCTCTTGAATCCTTTATGCTTTTTTTCCAGAGCCACTCGTAGCTTTATAATTATGCTTCGGAATTGGCTTTCTGACATCGAATTGTAATCCAAACTCTGTAACTCTGTGGCAGAGAGTACTGCTTCTGATTTTCTTTTGTGATGAGTTTTTATTTCTAGTCATTTTGCTCTGTGCAGAGTGGTTGTGAGTGGACTGAGTTAAGAATATCAACCACGACCTAAGTAAATTTCACCCTAGGTGATTCTGCCAAGGTCAGAGACCAGAAATTGAAAACAAAGATCCGAATGAAATAAACCAAAAGGACCACTAAAGTGAAAAACAAATTTTATAACAAAGTAGTAAAAAATAAAAGGTTAGGAATCCTAAAGAAGAGAGGGGAAAAAAGAATAGAAAAGAAAAAGGAAAAAGGAACATAAAGGAGAAGAGCAAAAATGGGGGGACTGGGAGATGGTGGTGGTGACGAACTTGTAGTGGAGGGAGAATGTAGTCTACCTGAGGGCTCCTAGAGGGTGATCCTCTTGTTTCTGAGTATATTAAGTCTTTATGTTAGAAGATGCTCAGTCCCAAATTTATATAACACAGAAATACTTGTAGAAAGCCCCAATACTGGCCACCAAAACATAAATGAGATAAAATAGGGGGGCAAAATGGGAATGAGGAATCTCACAGGATGAACCAGCATGGTATACCACTCAGTTCTGGGTGCACGCTGGTCATGTTTTAGGCGGTATCAACTTTCGCCATCATAGAACAAAACGAGGCAGAGAAAACAAAAAACACAAAACAAAAAAAACATACCTTTTATATCTCCCAAAATTAAGTTGAGTATGTTGAAGGGAATCTAGAAGTGGAAAATATATCTAGGACTTGTAATTGTAGAAATATGAAAGTCAAAAAGGAAGAATCTTAAAAATGAAGAAGTGGTAAAATACTGTATTGAAGGTGGGAAAAGAGAAAAAAAATTAGAAATTTACAGTCTGATATAAAAACGAGTTGTACTGGAAAAAGGAAGGAAAAAAAGGAGGGGTACCCTCTAGTTCTATATACTGTAAATCCCTTGACTTCCCCTGGAGCTTTCCAGTGCTGCTCGGTCAAGAACTTGGTCTTCCCCTCTCCCTCCAGCTGGCCTTCTGGGGGAGGGTCTGCTCTGCTTATTCTCAGGTGTGTGCACCTGGGAGGATGCTCCATCCCCCACCAGGTACCGGGCTCAGTGGGAGCTGTTTACCCCATGAGGCCCCTGTTCCCTGGCAGCCCCACCTCTCCCAGGCACATGGTGACACCAGGAGGAAAAATACCACTGGCGGTGGCCAGCTCTCTCCGGCTCTGGAGTCAGCTCCCTCATTATCTCTACAATATTTATGGCCATCTGAGCAGTTATGCTGTTTATTTTGTTCTACTGCAACCAAGAATATCTAAACTGATATTATATTTTTAAAAAGAGAGAAGGACAAGAAAAAGAAAAACCTCTATTTATTTTTCTATCTCTTCATCCTCCATGTCTCTGAAATTCCTTATGATAACATCTTCAGCATCGTGAAAACTGACAAACCTGAAGCTTTTTATTTTTAAAAATGACCACCATAAGTAACCATCTCTATCATTTCCCCTGCTTTTCAAATGTTTTCTAACAGTAGTGTGTATTCACACTACAACATCACATTTGACTCCCTAAGTCATTCTAATATCCAAACTAGACTTAGTGAAGATCAAGCATTAGCTTTGTTTCATAACTTAAACATAGTTATATTGTTTATACTATCACATAGTATATATTTTATGATTACAACACTGTTTCATAACTATATGAATATGCAATAGTCTTTATGGGCAAAGTTCAAGTAGAAAACACATCTATTCTTACTAAATGGGGGAAAAGTTTCTTCTATACCCTAAAACTGTGTTCTGAATTATTTCAGAGGTAATAATCCATAATTTTCCAAAGATCTTAAACAGCAATAGAAAAATGACAATTAAAAATTTTATCATCATTTATCTCTGTCCTTTTTTGAAAAACTGCCAAATAATTTAAATTACTGAAAGTAAAATTCTATTTATTAACATGTATTAAGTATTCCAGAAATACTTTCATTTGAAATTTAAATCTTGCTATTCAATAACAAATTCATTTCAGTTCTACCACTGGAGCCAAGAACTTAATTATAATTTCTGATCAATATTTATTCACTTTGGAAATAAACTATTATAATATTGCCAAAGATAAACTCCAAAAATACAATCATCAACTCAGAGACATCTTTACAGATTCAAAAAAATTTTTTAGATAGCAGATATATATGCAAAATTAATACATTGATAAAATTTATATTGATATGATTAATTGAATGTTTACACATCAAACAAAATACACTGCTGATAATGCCATTTCCAGAGATAGTGTTTCCTACTGTAAAAATAAGAAAACTTAAAACAATGTTTGAAACTTTAGAAAATCACCTACATATCATCATTATAATAGATTCATTATAATGGAAAATTTTCTGGAGTTTGAGTTACAGAACATGTTTTAGAGCATTTTCCTCAAATGTTAACCTAATCTTTGCTTAAATATTTCAAGATTGTCAACTGAAAGAATATTGGCTCAAAATTAGAAGGCAGAAATGTGAGTCTGGACTCAGTGGTGGAATTCTCAGAAAATTAAGCTTATAAAGATACATTTCATTACATATGTAGTTAGGATATTAATATATCAAATCATAAGTCTATTGCAAGGAGTCAATGAAAGATTTATAAAACTCTTTAAGACACTATGCAAATATGTGATATTGAACATTAATATCAGTACAGAGTTTGGCAAGTGGGTGACAATCAAGAGATGCACTGAATAAATGAATGAATATATAAACTAATGAAAGTATTCTATCAGTAAATAATTTCATAAAAAGAAATCTGCAAGCCTGCTTCTGTTATATACCCAAAAGATTTGAAAGCAGGAATTCGGGTAGGTACATTTATAGCAGTACTCACAGTAACATTATTCATAATAACTAAAAGTTGGAAAGAACCCAAATTCCCATCAACAGATGGGCATATCCATACAATGGAATATTATTGAGCCTTTAAAAATGAATCAAATTCTGATACATGCTACAACATGGATGAAACTTGAAAAATCATGCTAAGTGAAATAAGCCAGATGCAAAAGTCTAAATATTGACTTACTGTATTTGAGATACCTAGAATAGGCTAATTTATAGAGACATAAAATAGATTAGATTACCAGTGCCTGAGAAGAGGGAAACATGGGAAGTTATTATTTAATGGGTATAGAGTTTCTATAGGGGATGATGAAAAAGTTCTAGAAATGGAAAACTACTTATGATTGTACAACATTGTGCATATGTATGTGCATATGTACATAATGCCACTGAATTGTACACTTAAAATGATTAAAATGGTAAATTTTATGTTATATATATTTTACTACAATAAAAACAAAGAAATTTTATTCATATATTGGAGAATGATGGTTATTAGCTATTTTTTTTTGATCAAAAAAAAAAAACCCCAAAACAACATACCAGCCTCTACTCCAACATGCGGAGTCTAATGGTAACCAGCACTCAAACTTCCACATCAAGGGCACAGAGAGGAGAAAAACTGCCCTAACATGTCCTGGTTGGCAAAGGCATGCCCTATCCAACAGGACCTGAGGGCCTGATGCTTAGAGAGAAGATGGTGGGAGAAAGTGCACTTGTGTAAGCCACTGGGACTCAGCATCCAGGTACCC